TGAATATAATATACAAGTTTCACTTTTTAAATGGAATTACTGAAATCAATCTACTTTTTCATGATATTCTAATTTTATGACCAGCACCTGTATAATAGCAAACCTAATACAGAAAAATGTAGATCTGAGCTCCAGCTGCTATCCCTTCAAATTTTATGGGGTCAACTTTAAGAAAGAACAATATCCAGCCTAGGAAAGGAACTCTGGACTGCTGTGCTGAGTTTATAGTAATATTTAGCCAGTTTCCAAAGTCTTGTGTTGCTGGTGGATGCAGTAGTCTTGGCTAAGACATAGATAAAACACCTTCCTTTAGTTTTCAAACAGAGAAACCACCAAAAAGATCTGTTTGGGTGCTAGCTTTACAAAGGATTGGCGAAAATAGCAAAACCTGGAACCCAAAGTCAAAGTGGACCTATGTGTGTAGTAGGCATTGGCATTTTATTACTAATTCTAAAAGTTAGAAGATGAGAAAGTATCATGAATTAACCACTGTTTTAGTTACTGAGGCAGTGGAGACAAACTTTTTTGAAACAAATGGAAGTTTGAGAAAGTAATGTAGATAAAGGAGGAAGTGGGGAGTGCTCTTAAAAGGTTTGTGATTGGCTTTTCAAAAAGCGTAGCCCTAGAGAGACACCAGGAAGTTGATGTCTTCTTTCCCCCGCTCCCATGCACTGTCTGCCTACTTGCTTTGTTGTTCTCATGTTGTGCTCCTTTCATTTGCCACGGTTAGCCTATAGCCTAACCTCATTCAGCCATAACTCCTGCCCTGGCAGGCCTTGTCTGCTGTCCTCCTACTGGCTAAACCGTAGCCTCTCCCCTGCCTTCATCACTTTTGAGGTTGTTTCAAAGCCACAAACTAGGATGCACTGCATTAGCCATATGGAGAGGACATCAATTCAATGACTGAGTGTGTGACTGACTTCATAAACTTCTATGTAGATAACACCATCCCTACCAAAACAGTAAAATGCAAATAATATACCATGGATCACTAGTTTTCTGAAGGAACCACTTAACAAGAAAAAAAAAGCAAGCCTTAGGAAGGGAGACAGGGAATTACTGAGGAATATACAGAAGCAAATCATTTATCTTCTAAGGCTGCCATTGTTTCTCCTACATCTATGAGTTTAATGTCAGCCAATTTAGAAGATGGTGCTGCTCTCTTAGCATTTCAGCTATCTATTTCTAGAAGTCAAGAGACAACTTGAAAGACTGGTGAAGATTCTTAGTAATCCAGCTGATAGTCATTCCAAAACAGTGAAAAAACAAACAAGTTTGAAGACGTTTCACATCCCATCCAGGAATGCTTTCTTGATGGGAAGTGTAACATCTTCAAACCTGAAAAACAAAGTCCTGTGGTTTGTTTTTTAACTTTTTTGGATCTGGAAAGAATTGTAATAATTCATCATGTCCTGATGGCGTCAGCCCCAGAGTCCTGAAGGCCTGTGCAGAGCAGCTTTGTGGGATTTTACAGCACCTCTTTGAACCTAGCCTGACCCAGGAAACGGTTCCAGTGATGTGGAAGACCTCCTGCCTTCTTTCAGTACGAAAATAAAACTCAGCCAACAGATGCATCGACACATCCGCAAGATAATCGATTCATGTTTTTTTTTTGACACAGACATTTTAAAATTATGCTCAATATTGAAGCGTGGTCTCTGTGCTACACACTGTGGGTCTAGATACGGCTGAGGCGGCGAGGAAGTGGGGGCGAGTTTAGTCCGACGACGGAGGGACATGAAGGCCAAAAAGAGCGGAGTTCCAGGTGGAAAAAAGGTCCCAGCGTTCTCGCGCACCTCGCTCTTCTAGCAGGTCAAACTTCACGAGTTGTTTTCCGCAATTTCGGTCATAAAAACAAAACAAGGCGGCCTCTGCGGCACTGTTTGCGGTCAGCTACAATTTAGGAGAGGAGCAGCGGAGCGTCTCTCAAGGGGGCGGTGACATCGACACTCTGGAGCCGAGGTATTGCACTCAGTTTCTAAAAAAAAAAATGCATAACGATATTACAGCTTTCATTGATTTATTTCAAATTTGACACTTTGTTTAGCCTGTAAGGTGTAAAAAATAAAAAAAATAATAAAAAAATAATGTAACCGATTAATCGATTAATCGAATCGAATCGTGGTGTATTCTTGAGTATCGAAAATAATCGAATCGTTGGGTCAGGAAATCGATACTGAATCTAATCGCCATGATGAATGTGATTTACACCCCTAGTATTTACCATTGATTTGAGTAGGTAAATGAGATAGTTTGCCAATGGAATCAGTATTTTTACTCTTAAAATAAGATAATTAGATAATATTCACTTGAAATAAGACAATGCAATTGTGTTTTCTTATTTCAAATTTAAATTGTCTTGTTCTATTGGCAAGATGTCTCTTTTATCTCCACGACTAGAGGACAAATGCACTTATTTTAAGAAAAAATTACTTTGATTATTTAGATTTTTTTCAGTGTAGACATTTTGGTCTGACATATCACATCATGAAGTTCCTAGAGAGACTTCTGTTGGACATTCATCCTTCAAAATAGCTGCTTTCCAGTGTCTACAATGATGCTGACATTGTACCACAATGTGCAATCAAAGTACATTCTGGCACTGAAATCTCATCTCAAGATAAATTAGTTTTAATGCCTTCATTTTAGGTTTGGGTCATGTTGAGAAAGATTGTGGACTATTTCCACAGAGAGACAATCTAAATCACCCAAACATCCCTATCATTGCTAGTGTTGTTCCAAACGTAAGTCTTTTGGATTTCCTAGCAGCAAATATATCCATGTATTCATAATACATAGATTTCATTTTTCATTCTGCAATTTTGCACGCTGTCCAGCAGATGATGCCCCAGGCAACTGCCTGCGATGCCTGTCAACACAGCCGGCTCTGGAGCTTTTACTTTTCCTTTGGGATTAATTGGGATTAATCCAGTGGTTTTTTTTTTTTATTAAATAGCGTTATCCTGTTAAAAAGTAACCTGAAAATCTTAAAATGACAGAACAAAGCTACTACCGCCCACTCTACTTTCCACACCGACACATATAAACCCCAACAGACAACTTTTTCATTCAGTCATATAAATATAAGGCTACATTACCTTTTCTATCATAAAAACACCAACCTAAATGGTAAGCAGCTATGTTCAATAAAAGATTACTGAGAACATTTAGAACAGACATTAAAAAGACTTTTATGGCCTGTTGCTACGTGCTACACGTTTTGGATTTCAAAATAGACATTGTGGTTTCCTCAGACCCTTTCACGCAGCAAAGCAATTACTTCTGGCTTAGTTCTACTGCTGAAGAACATAAAGATGTGGAGCACTAAGATCCTGATGTTCATCTTGTGGGGTAAGTTGCTTTATTTTGCATAAACTGAAGGTTTTAAATCAATGATAGAATATGACACATCTGATGTTTGTTTGTACATGATGCTGTACTAGTATACCATCATCTCGGCATATCCTTTTTATACACGGAAATTTTCTAATTGTCTTTAAGAAATGCATTTTACATGTATTTGAAGGTCTACTTTTTCACATAGTCCCTTTGTTCAACAAGGAAAATATACCAGGTAAATTTAGGTTTTCTTCTGTTTTCTGCAGTTCTGAGCTGTTTGACCACTGTTCCAGGTTTGATCCATCACTTTGGATATGAGGGACGAGATGAACACATCCAGTGTTCATACCCTTTGGGATATGAGGGTTATGAAAAGTACCTCTGTAAGAATAACTGTGGTAACAATGATGTTCTTATTAGTACATTACAAAAGAATACAACAAAATATCGCACCTATGATGAGAAAAGAAAAAGGGTTTTCATAGCAATCATCTCTAAGCTTCATCTTAATGATGCTGGTAAATTCTGGTGTGGAGTGACCAGACCAGGAACAGATATCTACACTGAAGTAAAGCTGCATGTAACCCAAGGTAAGGTAAAATTAGCCCTTCCTAAATAATTTGCCATCATTAAACCAAAGCTACTCTTAGGAGTTATTCTTCAGTATTTCATTCTAAAGACCAATTTTATTTAAATAACTAGACTACAGTTGGAGTTTAGGTCTAACAAATAAAGTCTAATCAGCACATATTTAATTTACAGTTTATCAAAATGAGAACGTATTCAAATATAAGTTCAGTAGAATATAAACATGTTAGTTAGCATTTTAAAATTAAATATAAATTATATTACAATCTATCAACTAATTTTAGATGTTCTTTTCATATAAAAAAATTCCCGCTAATGTAAATATTTATCCTCATAGACAGGTGCTGTCAAACTGTGAGTAAAACCCAAAGTATTGAAGAAGGTTCGGTGACCATCAGTTGTCCCTATGACTCTCAGTCCGCCAACAACCTGAAGTACCTCTGCAGAGGAAACCGGCCCTCCGTATGTCTAAAGCAGGCAGTTATCACCTCTAACAGCCCACAAGAAGGACGATTCAGACTCACTGATGACAGGAAATCAAGAATATTCACAGTGACTATTTCCAGACTGACCCTGAAGGATTCAGGGTTATATCTCTGTGGAGTGAAGAGAACCTCAGATTATGACCTTTTTTCTGCTGTTGAATTGGATGTCAAAGGTAAACCGACACTAGGTGATTACAGAATTTTTTTTTTTTATCACTTGAAAAAATTATGCAAGTTTGTGAAAAGTGAATATTTTTGACAGATAAGTAAATTGATGAAATACTTTTAAACTTATCTTTAATATGTTCTCATCCTGAGTTAATATTGAGTAGATCCTGAGGATGACAACAGGATCTTGTTTACTTATTAGCTGACTTCTGATGGCAATTGGCTACACTTCATTTTATTTTAGGGTATCAAATTTTGTCTGATTAAATACAAAGCACCTGCTACTATTGTAAGACTTCTATTTATTCTTTCACTGCACAATTATAGCAGATCAAATCTTGCTAAAATACAGTCTTACTTTATATGACAACATAAAAGCTTTTTTTAAATAAAAACATTATATTTTTACAAAACATCAAGTAATAGCTTCCCCTATTAAGAACTGCTTTTTTTTATCATCATGAATTTTTGCAAAATCGCAAACATTTTATGCCCTTGGCTTTGAAAGGTGCTGAGATGTTTGAATATGCAATACCCACCTTAATAAAAAAAAAAACACAGCATAGTGTGAAAACAAAAAAAAAAAAAAGGAGAAAAAAAACACTACTAACAGTAATTCTCTTTGACAGTTTATCAGCACAGGACCACTACAGTGGAAACAGACTTAACAACTTGGTTAAATGTTTCTGAAAAAAAAATTCAAGGTATATATACTGTATATATATATATATACATATTTTCTGTCTGTCTGTTTATCCGATTAAGAATGACCACATTTACAAAAAAAATTGAAAAATCTGACTCAGATACTTTACAAAGCTTTAACTTTGATATTACTATTTCTTAAAGCAGTGCTACAAGGTGCTGTGAATTAGGAAGTGACTTTGCTGTCTGGTTGTTCATTTTTTTTTTCTTTTATTGAACGTGGCTTTCAGATGATGTTCTTTATCCATTGTGGGCTCTATTTCCGATTCTGCTGCTGATATTAATAACTGTCCTGGTGAAAGTTCGCAAGAACCATTGTCACATGATTAAAGGTGAGTTAAATATGTCTCCGACATAAGCAAAGACATGTCTGCTAACAAGTGCTTGTTTTTCTGCACCTTGTTTTTCAGAAACCAAGGTCATCATAAACACTCACAAACTGGAAGAAGCAGATGAACAGGAAGAGATGAATAGCAATGAGGTAGGGGCACATGTAAAAATCTGAAATCCACACGCTACAAAACATATAAATCTAAATAATAATTTTCTTAAAATAAGTGCATTTTTTATTGACTTGAGGAGGTAAGTGAGACCCTTTTCCAATGGAACAAGACCATATACATTTAAAATGAGAAAAAAATTATTGCATTGTCTTTTTTCAAGTGCATAATATCTAATCATCTTATTTTAAAAGTAAAAGTGCTAATTCCATTGGCAAACCATCTTATTTACCTACTCAAGGGTAAATACACTTAATCTAAGCTTTTTTTTTACTTTTCCTAGATAGTCATTCCGTAAAAATTCAAAAAAAAATATCCACTGGACTTGGTTTTCAAGATTTGAAGACGTTTCGCCACCTCTCCAGGAAGCTTTCTCAATTCAAATGTCTGGATCCGCAGTGAGTTTGAGTCTTATATAGACAACGCCTTGTATTGCTTGGAAACATGCAAATG